CCACCACTGATATTGGGATATTTTCCGCTCAACATCCCAATCAATGTGTTTTTTGTTCCTCACTTCCCGGTGATTGTCGCCAGGCCAGGCACTTCAAGCCGCTGAGCTGTGGTTAAAAGGCGTCCCCGTTTGGAATGAATAGAGCCGGCTAGTGCTGGGAGATGTGTTTTTTATTTGAGTAGGCATGCTAAGAACTCGAGACGACCTGAGACTAAGTTGTTTGGAGATTTCGATTTCAGACAGATTGAGGGAATGTTTGTCAGGATGAAAGAAGCACAAGGTCCGGAAAATCAATGACCGACCTGAAGATTGCAAATGTCTCCCAAACAGCCTCAGCTCAGGTGATGGCTTGCAATATGCCTTGGCGCTGCGTTCTGCCGTGATCTATGTTCTCGGTATTTGCTCGGTGCCATTGCTTTTCCCTTGCACGGACAGCCCTGAGGCTGGGGAGGGGGAGCAGGAGAGCAGAGACTCACTGAGCTGGGAACACAAAGCCTTGAAAGAAGACTCAGGAAGACTTGAGGGAACCAAGGGCTTGGACAGTCTTGTTGCTTGGGATGAAGGTCGGCACGTCAACTGCACGTTTGATTAATGCTTCTGAGTCTGAGGTTTCCCAATCAGTTCCACTGTTTCGGCCAATTGTTAAGCAAGGCGCCATTGACGAGTTGGGCCTCTTGCCCCAAGAGCCCTTACAGCTTCATCCCAACGAAGCTTGGCCAAGTTGGTTCAGCTCACTCCTGGCACAAATGCAAGTAATGCAAGTATGACAAGTTACTTAAATGATGCGGCGGGATTAATGCCAAGAGTTGGGCAAGGAAGGATATGTGAGCCTCCTCTTCATTGGGCAGGAAGTACGTTGGCATGCTCTCGGGTCGTACTGGTGTGCACAGATCAGGTTATGTACGTTGTTTCAATATGTTTCAATGATCAATGTCATAATTTCATAATATAATTTGACATGTTTGAAAACTGAATGTGATTGAATGTGCATATGAGAAAAAACAACACATGTACTTTGAGCTTGGGCTTTAAAAGAGTCATGCCCAATCTTATATGTTTTTTTCCATCGGCCGCGGAAACTTATGTGTTTGACACGTTTTCACTCATCCTCAGAGCTACAAAACACAACGGCGACACTTTGGCCACAACGGCGCGCCACAAAACACTGAGCATGTGAGATGTCGCTTTTACAGCCAAATGGACAGAACAGATCCAAACAGATCGCAAGGACCAGACAAAGTTTCTCGTACCAGGTTCTTTTGTAATGTGTTTGTGTGACCCGTCATCGTCGGCTGTTGTAGGGTTTGGGCTCGGTTCAAGGTAGTTGCAAAGCACTTATCCAATTCAAAGGTGATATAATGTGATTATCTGATAGGGTTGCAGACAGATAAAGGTCCCACCTCATCGGTTCCAAAGTCAAAGTGCTTAGAAGTCATGATCATAGGAATCTTTAGGATACAACAGCATCCACGGAATACCGGGCCTTTTTCCTGGGTTTTCTCCAAAATTGCCGCGTCTTTAAAACGCACAAGGCAATCACTGAGGAAACAATGTTTGCGAGGGTGGGTTTGTGGCCAGCGAACTATGCCAAAATTTTAAGATCCTCAGTCAGAATGCCAGTCGCAAACCCTTACCGTTGGCTTTAGGCAAGTAGAACTGGGATCGGGACTACAAGCTCGAATCGGCAGAAGGGATGACCTGAAGTTTATGGCTACATCTCTGGATGACCCTGCCTTGCATGCTCACCGTGGGAATGGTTTAAGGCACTCACTGGTTTAAGGTGTTGGAGTGTGAGGCTTCAGGAATTTGCCACGAACTGGCAATGGTTCACCTTCAAATAACTATACTACGTTTGCGTAAAACTTTGGAGAGGAGGAGATGATGCTGGATGGTTCTGGTAATGGTACCAACTGCTCCAGCCGCCAATTGGCGAGTGATCACCCGTGTTTTCAGATTTTGCCCTGTTTCTGGAGCTGTTTTGATCACTTTGCAACCTCTGAGGAATTTGATGCATATCTTCCACATTTTGCCATTCTGGTATCTTCTTGGCACGTAAAGCGTTTCGACTCCTGTGTTTGGTCATGCTTGGCCATAAGATATTCAATGGTTTGTCATCATAGGTGCTTAGAAGCGGGGTTGAAGGTTATATATTGGAAAGTTTCAAGGTTACCTTTTGGAAGTGGGGACAGGGACTTGCGCGACCTTGTACTTGTCGAGGTATGCCTTCCTGGTGACACCCTACTTGGGTGGCCTAGTGAAAGCTATTGTTGATGCCATTCTGGGTGTTGGCTTGGGCCTCGCAGCAGCTAGCATTTGGGCATGCATTGGCATTCTCATTGTGCAGCTGATATGAGTCCAAATTCAACCATTATGTGTTTCATTGTTCGTTGTTTCCACCAAGACGACATTGCTCATCATATAATGTAAGAAGGATGATTTACCTATATAATATATATATATATAATTGTGTTTCCTTGTTTCTAGTTATTTCTAGTTTCTAGTCTCAACCACTAGACCATATCGTTTTCTTGCAGTGAATCAGTGGATCACGCACCTTCAATCCAACTGAACAATTGACATACATGCAGATATCTGAGGACGCAAACTCAAGTGAGTTGCACATATCCGAGCACTCAAGTCGGTGTTGTCTCTTCGATCGACATGGCACATAACACTCGTTTGTCGAAGGCTTGCTGAATCTTCTTCTCCCTGGTGGAGCAGCGGGACCTAATTATTTGGCCCCTGAGTATTTTGAACAGGCGTGGCTTCCTTTCAGAGCCTTGCTTCAACCAGCTTTGCTTTGGCTGTTTGCTCTTGGCTTTAGTTTTGCCTGATGTAGCAGAGGTAAGTGTTTGGGGACCCTTCTTTGAGGTATTTGGCTGATTTTGAATCTGAGGATACAGCACATTTTCTGCCTTCATGCTGGCGCTGTGCTTTACCTATGGTATCTTGGCAAGTGGTTGCAGCTCGTTCCGCTTTTTCAATCCCCCTTTGTACCAGAAGACCTTTCAGATGGGAAGAGCCCTTGTGGGGGGCGTCTTCCAGCTTGTACCGTTGATGCGGGCTGATGTACAGAATCACAGATCCAAAGACCGTTCGGAGCGTACCAGAAGATGCGGCAAAATCCCGACCAAACTGTTGCGCAGGGTCAACCTGTGCGTCTTCAACCTCACCTGTCACAAGCTTGGGCCAAGCTGTGAACAGCTGAGGACTTTTTGTGAGCAGCTTGAGCTTGGGCAAAAAGCAATATGCGTTGGGCCTCTTTTCCGAGCTCTTGGTGCCCTTTATGAGTCCCACGACCCGCACGGGTTTCCGAGCCGTGCCTTGGCCCTGGTGTTGCGAAATGACCGAAGAGTTCGTTTGTTTGGGCGTGGCCCCCTCAAAGAACATATACCTAATAGCAATGGCCTCCAACCTACTAGCGATGGCCTCCAATCTACTAAGCGATGGCCTCCAACCTAATCGCAAAGAACCTATCAGAAGTCTTTTCTGGCCTTTGCCCATCTCCAGGATACGTGTAGTTTTATCTATAGTGTTTCTGTTGTTTTTCGCCCACCAGGCTCGGGGATGAGTTTTGGGATTGGCATGTATGCCGATGTATGCTAGGTCTGACGGGTGTTGGCCAGGTCTGTTGGGATTGGGACTTTGCTTGGAACTGGAATGGTGCTGCGATGTGTGGCCCCATGGTGGCACAAACGACGCCTGTTCGACACTCGACATGGCCTGTTCGACACTGAGCGACCGACGGTCAAACGGCGAGAGCGACGGTCAAATGTCAAACTGTTTCAGCACGGCGTATAAAGGATGGATAGTGTTTTAGATCCTCCGTAGCTAACGTTTAGTCGAGCACGAGTGGCACCACTGTGCGAGATGCAATGAAACGCAACGGGAAAGGTCCTGAAATTTGGAACAAGTCATTGTCATCATCCCAAACCTGCTACTTGGCCAGAAGCAATTCCTTCTAGAAGTGGGCAAGAACCAGAGGCAGAGAGCAATTTTCAGGAAAATGGGCATCGCAACACCACGAACGAAACTCGCACTCGGTGCTACATTTACATCCCGCAGATGTGCCGCAGCTAGTCCTTCGGCACTGGAGGACTTTGGCTCGTGCTCCTTGCCGTGCTGTTGTCCGTCTTTACCTTGGGTTTGCTGCCACATCGCCGTTCCATCGAGATGCATACAGCCAGATGGGCCTCTGCCTTGGCGTTGGCCCAACTTGCAGAGGCTGACAGGGACATCGAACTCTGTTCAGGTGGGCTTTTGAACTACCTAGACCACATAGGATCAAGGGTTCATAGGATCAAGGGTTCCGGCTGCCGATAACCGAAATACTGTACGTACATATTGCTTGCTGGTGTATATTCAAATTTGCCAACAATTCCATGTTCCTTGAGTTTTTGGTGTTTCTTTGTTATTTTTTTCACGTGTGCGCATGCTGCTTTGGGGTTGAAGAACAGATTAGCTTGATCGGCAGGATACAGGTGGCTGCTTGGAGTATTTGATGACCATCTTGCAGCAGGTGCTTCGAGAACAAACTTTATGATATGCTGAAATGTCATTGCTTCCACGCGCCAAAAGGAATACAGAAATTGAAACCAAAGGAGTATCGATAACGTATACAAATCTATATATATAGACGACGTACACACATATATATATACATAAATATATATGTATATGGATGTGATATATGTACGTACGGCTGAATGTAGAATTGGAATACAAATAAGCAATAGATATGAATACTTATCCAATATCTCTAAAACCAGCAGGTTTTATCGTACTACAAAGTAATTGGAACTCGAGCCATTTGAGCTTCAACAATGAGCTGCAGCCCTTCAAAACAACTAGGAAGATTAGTAAGTGACTGGTGGCTCCTGGCCCTAGTGCACAGGATGCCTGGAAGTTTCAATTCCACGCGGAAAGCTCAAATTTCTATATCAAGCACCTTGGATGAACCGTTTCGCAAGTCGATCATCACTCAACGAGATAAACTCAATGGAGCACATCATGGACTTTTTGTTGTGGATGCACCTTTGTTGTCAGCCTGCAGCCTGAAAGTGCTTTTTTTTCTGGATACTACTTGTTTCATGCCACATCTACTTTGACAAAGCTGTCATTTTTGCTCCTTGCTCAGACAGTAGGCATGAATCGGTATAGCAGCTGGCCTTAAAGGGGTTGAGGTAGAGATATCCGTACAGAAAGGATCAAAAGAATGATTTCTTTGACATGCATATATATATATATATATATATGTATACAGCTTGATGGTTTTGTACTATGTTGTACCCACCTGATGGAAACAATATGAATCCATGGCCTGACAAAACAGAAGATGCACAGCGTTTCACGGCGTTTCACCGGTTGCGAAGGCACTTGGGCCTGCGACTTACGCGTGCCGAGATGATCCTGGATCTGACGCCGTGGGAGGGTGGCTCTGATCTCACCACAGTGGTGGCTTTCCTCAGGCCTTTTGAAGCGCTCAGAAGGAAGATCTCGAAACAGCAAGAGTTCGGCAGATGCTTTTAAATGTGAACAGCTATTTTTGGCAGTGTACCTTTCTAAATTCCTGTGCAACATGCTTTAGTCTTTTTTTGCCAAAACATTTACCAATGCATGTTTGTTGTCGTCAGCTCCATTACCACACCCAGACCTCACCTTCCTTGCAACAAAGAACCCCTCTACAAAAGGGCTGCAAAAGCAAAGCCTTCAGAAGTAGGCAGGTTGTTTTCCACGCAATAGCACGCAACCACTTCTGCACAGCGGATAAACCACGGGGCGGTTCTTGTTGGGGTGGTCTTGAGGTGACTACAGGGCTATGATATTTGGCGGCGTTCATCGGGTTCATGGTTCATGCTTGACTCTATATTTGTACAGTATGGTATGGTGTGAAAGAAGTCTCTGTATACTGTATATGTTTATATACTGTAGACATAAAATCCAGGATTCAATGTTGAACCGCATGATGGAAAACATCGTGCTACAGTACCACGCATATTTCAGTACAGTTGCCGCGGTTCGTCGACACTTTCGATCCAAGACGCGTTAGAGTGTGGTTCACTCAACCTGCAGAGAGGTCCGAGGTCCGAGCGTTGGTGATCGAACCCAGCTGCATGACTGAGCGTTGGTGCCTGTCAGGCAGCTCAGACAATTGCTTCGTATCCAAAGCGAGCAGATGCCACACATCTGAGACAGTTGCAGACATTTTGTATTGTGGTCCATACTGCTGACAGTAAAGCAGGCTTTGTGATGTAACAGGCAGGAGAAGGAAGGGAGAATGGTTTTATAACACCAACTCTTCTAAGGAAATTCAGGGATTCCCATTATTTCTCAAGCAATTGGACTACTTGGATTTGCGTGATGTGCAGAAGGAAGTGATATATCGATATATCGATAAAAAGAGAACGCAATCTATCGCAAGCTTTAGTTTTGCGTTTTCTCATGACAATTTCCAGCCCTTGTGGGTATGGAGATCAAGGGACCTGCCCGAGGCGATATTTTGGGCAGACTATTCCAAAGGGAGAGCATCTCTGCGCAATTTGTGGTGATGTGGATTTGGAACAGGGGACACCTTTGAGGATTATGGCATAGTATGGCAACATTATGTTCTTTTGCAAAGGAATTCTTGCATAGGTGTGGACAGTGTCGGTTAGTCGACACTAAGTAGAATGAGATCTGACTTGAAATCCTCCAGGATGGAAGCAATCAAGTTATTTTTGGTTTGTATCTAGGGGCTCCTGGCCTTACTACTAGGAGCAAGAAGCTACTAATGCACCTGTTGGGCCGCTCATCACATGGGTGTGGGTGAAAACATGAAAACCAGGGGCTGCCCGAAGGGGCCGCTCATGCTCCCATGTGCTCCGGGGTCCAAACCCGAACTCGCCTCCTTCAGGTGAGTCTTCCTTCGTCGGTTGGTTCACCGATTTCCCGAGGCAGTTGAAGCTGGTGGACTTCCTTCAGGCCTGCAACGAGGGACTGGCCTTGGTGGCCAGTGACTGCCGAAGCCATGCTGATCTCACCAAGGCCGATCGGCCGCGGAGCGATGGAGTCATGACCCTTGAAGTCTTTTCTTGGTGAGGAAGGAGTTTAAAGAAGGATCCAGGATGCATGTCATCGATGTAATTACTGTAGTGTAAATTAACGGATTGAAAGCACAGATGCATCATCTTACCTAGCAAGAACAGACCACCAAGACCATGAGCACTGAGCACTCTTTAAAGTTTGTGGAACACAGACAAAGAAGGTCGACAAGCTCGAAGAATGCACATGGATGTGCAAGGAGAGCTGCGCAGAGCTTCAACGGATTGCCGACAAAGCTGATGAGGTGTTGGTCCAGTCGCTACGCAGCCTTGCGGAAAATGACAAGACGCTTTGGTCTCAAATTCGACTGGCTTTGAGTTGCCCAGTCAGTGAGTTCAGTGACTGCCCAGTCAACGACAGGTGGTTGGCCATTTCTCACACTATGCTGGGTAGCGGCGTGCTGGCTACAGACATGCAGAGTCCCGTGTCCATACCGTAGTCCATTCCTGAAATATGAAAGCAGAACAAAAACATTGACTAAAAGATGTGCTCAAAGGTGAGTTCACCTGGTGCTGTGTTTCCCCATAGTCCCCAAATGCGTCCCAGTTGCCAGTCTATTCCGTGTTTCGGCACTGGAAGCATAGTATACTGCGTAGAACATGGTCAATGTATGGAGAGACCAACACGGAACAACGCGGTCTACACATGACATGTATACTATATATAATTATACATAATATACCCCAGGACCTTCCGGGACCGAGGTGTCTATTTTCATCGCCTCTCGGAGGTTGAATGTCCAAAACCGGAAGGTCCTGATATGTAGGATGAAAAAAAGGTTGGTCATGTCGTCCGCCTTTTTCCAGGATGAACATGTCCTGCTCTTCCTTTCTGGGTGCTTTGCGCTTTGGTCCACACCCAATGAGTGACCCACCATAAGAAACAGCCAGCTCCGAAATCGATTGAACCGACGTCATCGAAAACCCATTGAACGAACCGAGGAGATCGATGGCCTTTGTAGACCTGCTCCGCAGTTGGCCCCAGGCCTTCCGTCGCCTGGGAGAACGACATGAACCGCGGAGAACGGAGGAAGCTCGTGTGTCCACGACGTGGAGAGATCGGAAGCTTGGCTGAGAGCGGTCGGTGTTTTTCTTACGATTTGTGGCGGTCTGGGGATGAGGTAGAAGAGGTCTGGGGATAGGGATGGCCTCAACAGTTTGAGTGTGAGTTTGACTTAAGCATGCTTTGCGCAGGAATATGGGGTTCCCCAAGCGATGAGTCTTCGGATTCTAAAGACCAGACAGTCAGTGGGAAGGTCAGATGATCGTTTCGTGAACAGAAATGAGAAGAAGGTGAGTCACACTCCTCAGGCATTGGTTTGCACTTCGAAACACCACTTCTTGGACCTTGGCGCTCTTATACTCTCTTTACTTTCGCAGCTTGGCTTGGGATTTCTGAAAGAGCTCAGGAAATGATCGCTCTGAAAGAAAGGTTCAGACTGCATTTGCATTTAGACACCGGAAGGGGCTTTTGGCTATCACCCATCGTTGTTTTCAGCATTGTGAGATGCTGTCAGCTCATCTTCTCCGTCAGTGATTCACTGACTACATCCGTCAGCTGAACCAGGTGACTACAACTGCGGATGTGTCGTGGCCACATCTTATATTTTCTCGCAAACCTCTGGATCGTCCTTCGATGTGAACATCAACAGACTGCTGGGTGTTTGCATGGGTTTGGCGGTCGGCAACATCCCAGCTTTGCTGAGCCTGGTCCAAAGGGTATTGGATAGTCAATTCTAGTATAGAATGGCATAGAACGGCAAACAACATCCGCAGACATTTAAACATAAGGCCCGTTGCATGGTGTTCAGCTGCAATTCTTGTCCTACCTGTCACTTCGTCAATCCGAAGAGCATCGAGGTATTTGCGCTCAGCCAGAAATATGCTCGCAGCATTCTCACCAAGGATTCTGAGTGATCGGACTGCAGTAGATCCCTCTTCCACCAGCTATCTCCTTCGCGTCTTCATGTATTTTGTGGTCATGCTCATCACTTGGACTTTGGCGATCTTCGGATACCTGGCAGTGGATTCCAAGTACTGCGGCGCCTGCCTGAATTGGGCCGGGGGACCCCAAACAAGATGGTCATGCTTTGTGTCGTTTGTGTGGACATTAGTAGCTTTCTTGCTACTACTAGTAATGCACCTTGCTCCTAAGTAGCGGTGCCGCGATGCCCAGTAATTACTACAGAGAGCAATTGGACGTTTCATAGATGTTTTTCTTTGTTCCACAATCAAAGACAGATTTCTCGTGCTGTTTGACGTTGCCTTCAGCATCCTTTAGCTCCTTCAGCATGCTGTGCTGCATTCTTGAAAGACCTTCTCCACCCACACCCTCCCCATTCAAGTGATCATGCAAGTTTACATGTTTAAGTGACCGAAGGCTGCCCTATCTGGAGTGCAAATGCATCTTGGAAGGATGATTACAAGTCGGCGGTCGCTGGTCGCTCCCAACGGACGCAGCATGACCCGCTAGAGAGTCCAAGGTCATATCTCATACACACTCATGTAGTTTCCCTTTGCCATTTCACCTTGTCCTGATCCTGGACAACTGGCCTTCGATAGAAATGTCAAATGTGTCAGACTCTCAGGCTGCGCCATTTGCCGCGAGTCAGCATGTTGGACGTCGACCTCTTTACTGCCATCCTTGACAATGTCATGTCTGTCATGGTCAGAGCCTTTGACTTTGGAGTAAATCTTGATTGCATCTAATAGACAATGTGTGTCGTGGAGGCTTGGCAATGACAGCTGCTTTGAACTGCTTTGAGGTGTTGCAACATTCGGAACCTGAATGATTTACATGTGTACATCCTTCTATTCTGTGCATTCCTTTGACAAGATCAGTTCAAATCCACGGCCTCCAACAGACTGTCCTAGCTCTTCCTTCCTACATGGCTATTGGCGACCTGCCACGCGCCACACTGCCAAATGCCAACTCAATGCTCACAGTGCTCGTAAGTTGGGGACGCAGATATGCTGTAGAAAGCCCTCCCGAATCCTGTCCTCCTCGTAGTCCAACAATCAGTGCATATTGAAACATATCCTTTATATTTGCCAGAGCTACTTTGAGATACCTATCACAACTTGTCTCTGACGAGGCCAACGGATGAACTCCTGAGATTTGAGAAGGATTCTAAGAGCAGTGACTAAAGGGGATCTCCGTGGTAAGTCAATGTTCTTAATCTTTGGATAGTCAGAGACTATTTGTGAAATACACGTTGCAGTTGATTTGCATGTAATTAGATTGTATGTATTTAGACATGTGGCCTGTTTAACCAGACAGTTTTGTGATGTTGCAATCTTTTGACAAATAAAAAGAGTTCCAGTGCAGCTTGAGTGAGGTTGTGTTTCTGGTCGACATGGTTTTCGCCTACATGCAGGCTAACCACGTGGCAGGGCTTGAACATGTATCCCTTTCTCTCTTTGACACTGAGCCGAGCTTTTTTCGATGTTCTACCAGTTAGTTCAATGTCTATGATGATTGGTGATTGTTTATATTTGTAAATTGACATGGTGCATCATGTTGTTGTTCCTTTCTTGGTGACACATAATCTAGTAACGGCTGGCAGTGATGCACTTATTTTCATAAAACGGGAAGGGCTAGCAGTAACATCCTAACAAGGATTTATTGCACATATGTTTTTCTTTTATGCATTGTTTGTTATTGAAATTTCTATGATCATGTGGGATAGACAGTCGGTCGGGAAGTTGTCCAACTGCAGCAAGATCATTCTAGAATTCTGGGCACAAGAAACCTAACACAACGCATCCAGTATATATATATATATATGTTTATGTTGTCATGGTGTTGTCGTTGTCGTTGTTTGACATCCTCCCACATGCCGCGACCAGTTGCTGCACACTTTAGGTACGAACAAAAAAAGTGAATTGTGAGCAGAATGATTGGGGGATGGTCCACAGTTTGATCTGTCACAAGGGGCAGCAATGGCAACCCAATATACTGGACTTCCCGTATTGTATTTGAGCGTGCGACACCAAAAGCTAAAAAAGCTGCCGCACTTATTTCTTGAGCCAAAGTTCAGGTTGGGTTGGTTTCAGTGCTCATGACTGACGTGTCATCCTCCAAAAAAGGAAAGGGTGGAGCGGTGCTCAGGATTTCTCACTCCCCCTGATGTTATTAACATCATACCTTCTCAAAACTGCCGAGAGAATGGGAGCTGTCTGTTTCGTCAGACTCCCGATTCCCTCCAGTCACGGCAGTTTCAATGCCTAACCAAACAGGCATCTGGGATGGATCCTCTTCGATCAATCCCTCACCAGCCAGCGCCCGGGTCCAGCCGCCCTCGATGGTGCCGGTCTCACCCCTTTTCTCATAGCCCTGCAGTCGGACTCGATAGCCCTGGCTCTCCTCACTCGCATGCCTCGAAGCGCCCTCAGCTGATGCCTCCACAGCAGCATAGGAGCCACACCCCGCCTCTGCCAGCGCAGCCCTTCCCCTTTCTACTGCTCGAGACCTCGACGGCTGATCTTCTCCATACCCACGCGGACCTTGAGTCACCGAGCCAGGAGGTGGAAGTGGGTTCGAAGAGGCCGAGCCCACATGTCCTTCAGTCTCTCTCGGAGGGAATCTCACATAGAAAAAACTGTAGCCCCTCCACTCATAGACATCCGCCAAATCTGAGTTGCGGGAATTGATCCAGTCATCCATGATCTCCTTCCTCTTCCAGGCTTCTCGAGTGCTATTTCGATGGAAAGCCACTGTCACCCTCGTCGAAGCCATTCTCTCAATCATGAAGGGCGTCCCCCTATGTAGGGGGTGGAAGGCTCTCACCCTGCTTTTCTTCAGCACCCGAACCCACCATTCGCCTGCTCCGTCTCCACTGCCAAGGCACTCCCACCGGTCATTACCAGTGGGAGGTGTTGCAAATCGCTCCAGCCGCCACGGAGTATCCGTGCCCAGTCCCAGATGCGGCCCCAGAGCACGAATAGCGCACATCCGAGGAATCCATGGCTGCGCGTGCGATGTGTCCGACAGGGTGCCAAGATGGCAAGTGTCGAGCGAACGATCGTCGGTCGATGTTGGGCCAGGTTCATATTCCCTTGACCATCTTGATTTCTCTGTCCACCTACTTGGGTCAGGTTCATTTTCCCTTGACCATCTTGAATCTGTTCTTTTCTGGGTTGCGTTAGGCCTCTTGGTTGACTGGCATCCTGCCGTCTTGTACACACTGCTAGCTACGAAAGTGGCAATTGCTCCCAATGCAGTCACACACGCGATTCGTGGAAGGCTTCCAACGTAGGGCATGGCAGCAAGCAATCCCAGCGAAGCCATTGCAGCATATGCCACCTTTTTCACAGCAGCACCATCCCCATCACCCTGTTGTTGTGAGTGACCCAACGAGGCTGCATCACGGAGACCAACAGCATTCCTGAACGCCAGCCAAGGCTGTGACTGAGTGATGGATTTCGTTAGCAGGTCTGC